CCCCAAAACCCCAAAACCCCAAAACCCCAAAACCCCAAAACCCCATTTATTATCTAAAAATAGAATAAATATAACTTTAGAAATATTATGAAAAATTGGGACGAAACTAACAATCAAATTGCTCATCATAAGAAGCTGAGAGCAGCCAAACCTATGATTAGCTCCAATGTGAGACACACAAAAAGTATGGATCTTAACTTTTCATACAGCAAAAAAGAACAATTTTTATTATTCTTAAGAGTGAAGATTAAGTATTTGTATAGATCACAAATCAGCTAAAACAACAGTCAATAGGAAGACCCCTCTTTGTACACAAAAGTATTTCTCACCAGAGAATTTATCCAAAGCTCCAGTTAATTTCCCTACAGGAAAACAGGAGCTTAGAGGTAAAAACTTGTTCCCAATTAATCATGAAGTGCAAGGAGGAGGATACATAGAAGATAAAGAACTTGGAATTGAGGGGACAAACTCCTTCATGAACTCCACAGGCAACCCTTCATCTAGGTGAGACTATATGCTGACTTCTAGCTCAACTAATGCCTCTTCATTTCCATTATCTGGAAGTACGAATAAGGTGCAAACCTTGCCAATTTTCAAGCTGTTGCAAGTCTTTAAACTCCAACAATATGCTAAAACATTTGCTGATCTGGGTCACGGGTTTGAAGTGTATAAAATAGCTCTCCTTCTTCCCAAACAGAGACACGAATTACTAAGAAAACTTAACCTAATGCCAGGACATCGAGCAAGATTTCTCAGCTTATTTGAAATAGTAGATCAAATATATCCGAAAGAAGAGAAATTCAGAATGCTCCAAAACTCTAAAAAAGTTACTAAGAGTCGTCCTGATACTGTCATAAATCCTGCCAAGTACTATAGTAATCCTGATGTCTCTAAAAGACCAATTAAGAAGAAGAGGACATTAATGAAGCAGTACAACATGCTGGATAAGAAGGCCAAGCAAGACATAAATGACAAGTTTATCAAAAGAATCAAGGAGAATAGGATCTCCTCTGCGCAGGTTTCCCAGGGTATTAGTATCCAGAATGTACTTGAAAAGCATGTATCTAAGGCTAAGACTAGGAAAGCAATGAAGAAAATATTCCCTCCTTCCCTCTACGAAAAATATCACACTGATGGGAGTTCTAACTCAAGATCAAGATCGAAGAAGAGAATGTCCTCTGCGAAAAATCGTCGGAAAGTTCATAATGCTGTGAAAAGGAATAAACTGCCACCTTTACCAGAGGCGCTACCTAAAAGCCAAAAATATGTAGGAACAAATATTAAGTCCAATGCCTTTGAAATTCAAAGGAACTCATCAGGAGTAACCACTAAAAGTTCGGTAGCAGGTAGAAGGAGTCACCATAGTCAACAGAGAAGGAAGGAGGATTTTGATGTTCGACCAATGTCTGCTACGAAGTACTCTATTCATTCCACAAATCAGACTAGACAAGTAAAGTCAGGAAGTAAAGCGAGGAACCATTCTGAAGATCGCAGAGTAAAAACAAGGAAGCCTCATAGCCTAACGAGAGAGAAATCTAAAGGTAGGAAACAAAGAACCGCTGCCAATCGTAACAGAAGTAAATACTCAAAGAATAGCAAGAGCAAGAGTGGTAGTAGAAAATATAGAAAAATTGGATCTAGAGAGGCGGTTCTCTCAACATCTTCTGCATCTAACGCAGGAAGGCTAATTAGTAGTGCTTCTAATAGTGATAAAAGATCATCTTATAAAACTAGCATAAGCCAGGTTAATGCTCAAGTTCAGAAATTAGAACGCATTGAAGAGAAGCCAAGAAAGAATTATCCAAATAAGGATCTTCAAAATTTGATTAACCAAAGAAAAGACCCTAGGCTCCCTCAACAGAAGGAGCAGAACCTAAGGTCCGAAAGAAGAGTTACTTCTAAGGAGTGTAAAGGGAATATCTCAAACACCTACACAACAATTAAAGGAGAAAGTGCTGATAAGGACCAAAGTGAGATCCTTAACAAATTTGGCAGTGCTTTCACAGATTCGGATAAAAACATGAGCCATCGCCACCCTGGAAACTCTGAGAATCCTGAAAAGAAATCAGGGTTGCCGAGTATGAATGATAAAAGTTACCAAAATTCCTCAGATGAGAAGATAAAAATGAAGAAAGTTGACTCTCATGGAACTGTACAGCTCGAGTTTATTGGTAAGCAATCTCTCTTAATAATAGAAAACAACAATGGTAAATTTGATGAAAGGAAAGATTCTAAACCTGCAATCCATTTGAGCCATTCATATTACGACTCTGATTTTACATCTGAAGATTCAAAAGTAATGATGGACAATTCTGAATTAAAGGATGATAGTAATCCCAGCGGAAACAATACTTCAGAAAAGAAAGATACAAGTAAAAGCACTGTGGAGAAGACTGACAATAAACCTCAAGAGCAAGAAATATCACAAATAAGCCAAAGTGTAACAAAAAGAAAGAAAGAAGAGCTTAAAACTCCTCAGATTACTCCAAAAATGGCGCAGAAGCCACCTCGAACTCCTACTGATAGCTTTAGATCAAGTGTCGCAACTCCCAAAGCTTCTCAAGATGCTCCTTCGAACACTTCAGAGCCTAGAGATGATCATCAGGAAGCTGTTGGCTTACCTGAAGCTAAATCCTCTCCTTTGCTTCTGAAATCAGAAAAGGAATCAGCTTTGGATTACTTCCAAAGTCTTGATTCCAAGAAAGTCGATGAAGCAATTACATATGTAGATGTTGAGAACATCTGCATGTGTCTAGCACATGCAATTCTTAAGCACATAGAATTCTCTCAAGGTGAAGTTTTGATAGATGACCTTGTCTCTGAAGAAGAGGATATTCCTCAATTCTCATATGAATTTGGAGAGGATCTCAGGATTGACCTTGAAGAAATTCAGCAAAAGAAGGAAATGGAGCAATGAGAAGCTCAAGTTAAGAATATCGAGAATTTTAACAAGATGGAATTCTTTATGAATAATGATGCAAATAATATGCAAGCTGTAGAAAATGGTCATGTATTTGATTACCAATTACAGCCTCTAGAAGAAGGGTCTCCAGGAGGGTCCTTGCTAGGAGAATTACCTCCTTTAAACCCTATTAATCCTCAATCAGTCGGAAGCAAGTTTTCCTCACATGGAGTTCTCAATCCAAATCAAGACCTAAATGACGATCAACCACCAACAACAGAAGGATACAACTACTCTCTGGTGCAAATGGATGATTTTCTCAAAGACCAGGGATTATTTGGAAAAGATTCTACCAATCTAGTGAACAACTACTATGCAAGTCTTTCAATGATGGCACCTCAAAAACCACATTTCTTACCCCCTCCAGAGCTAGGAATGATAGAAAGCCTGGGAAGTTTTGAAAATTCTTCAAAATATCCTGGTTCAGTATTCACAAACAAGAAATCTCTAGTTGATTCGCATAGTAAGCCACCTAGCTCTGCTAAAACAATGAGGTCTAACATCTCGAGAGAGAAGGATATTTCTGAAATGAAATCTCTGGATTCTGATAAAATTACAAATATTGAGGAAGAGCCAAAAGCTGATGAGATCCCTTCTCCATCTGATAGTAACAACTTTAGACCAAATTCAGCTAGTTTAGAAGAAAAGATAATTGGATCAAAGGAAGAGACTAAGAGTGATAAAGATCCAGAAGACGAGCATGCCGTATCACAGGAGAGTTACTATCAGCTAGAAGACATTACTAAGGAAGGCCTCCAGAAGTTCCTCAAGGACTCAATGCTAACCTTTAATGAAAGATATTCCATTGCTAAGCAAAAGATTGAAGAAGATGTCGAAATTGTTGATCCATCTTTTGACCTTATTTACAAATACTGTAAGTACGTTGTGATTGCCTCGAAAATGGAAAAAGAAATTCCCATACTAGCACTAGTCTACCTCGAGAGATTGGTCACCAGAACTGGAGTACTTATGAACAAACTTAATTGGAGAAGACTTATCCTCACAACTCTTTGAGTAGCATCAAAAATTTGGGATGATGACTCACTTGAGAACGAGCACTTCCCAAAAGTAATGAGGGATGTCACTCTTCAAGAAATCAATACCTTTGAACGTATTTTGCTCGATCTGATAGGATATGACCTTGTAATCAGAGGGGCTGAATATGCTCGATATTACTTCATCTTAAGAACAATAGCTCAAAACCATGACATCAAAATGCCATTGCAGCCCCTTAATGCTGCTAAGGTTATGAAACTGCAGCAGAGTACTAATGATTTCGAGATACAATTACGAAATCTCAAAAAGAAGAGCAATTTCTCTCAATCAATGTAACCTATCTTGCTACTTTAGCGAACCAAGGAGTGGTTTTTGGTCAGGTATTCATCATCGAGTCAATTAAAATAACTTAGATTGCAATAAAAAACTCGAATAAAGGGGTTTTGGGGTTTTGGGGTTTTGGGGTTTTGGGG